GGGTAGTATGTTAAGTGTGTTTAATTTTTAAGAAGCTACCAAACTGCTTTCCAGGGTGGCTGTACTATTTAATATTTAATGGCAGTGTGTGAGAGACCTAGTTTCCTTTTATCCTTGCCCACCTTTGATATTGTCACTATTTATTATTTTTTTAAATTTTTATTTATTTTTTATTTTTTTATTATTTGCTCAAAACATTACAATGATCTTGACATATCATACATTTGATTCAAATGGGGTACATAATCTTATTTTTCCACGTGTACAGATTGCAGGATCACATTGGTTATATAGCCACGTTTATATAGAGAGCCATACTAGTGTCTATTGTATTGTGCTACCCTTCCTATCCCCCCCTCCTCCCCTCCCCTCCCCTCCCATCACCTCTTTCTACCCAATCTACTGTGACACATTTCTCTCTCTAGCTTTTTTCTTCCCCCTCACACCATCTTATATGTAATTTTGCATAACAATGAGGGTCTCCTACCATCTTCCATGCAATTCCCCTTCTCTCTCCCATTCCCACGCACCTCTCGTCCACATTTAATGGCAATATTTGTCTCATGCTCTTTCTCCCTGCTCTGTTTTGACTCGCCCCCCCCCTTATATCAAAGAAGACATTCTGCATTTGTGTTTTAGGGTTTGGCTAGCTTCACTTAGCATAATGTGCTCTAATGCCATCCATTTCCCTGCAAATGCCATGATTTTGTTATTTTTTAGTGCTGAGTAATATTCCATTGTGTATAAATGCCACATTTTTTGTTATCCATTCATCTATTGAAGGGCATCTGGGTTGGTTCCACAGTCTAGCTATTGTGAATTGTGCTGCTATGAAGATTGATGTAGCTGTGTCCCTGTTGTATGCTCTTTTAAGGTCTTTTGGGTATAGTCCGAGAAGGGGAATAGTTGGGTCAAATGGTGGTTCCATTCCCAGCTTACTATTTTTTAGTTTAACTGATCTACTAGGTATCTAATGTAGCTCATGGTAGTCTTAATTTGCATTTCCCTAATGGCAGGTGATGGTGAACATTCTTCTGTGTCTTTATTTGTCAGCTATATATCCTCTTCAGTGAAATCTTCCTTTGTATTTTTGGCCTATGGATTGTTTTCCTATTGTTGCATTATGAATATTTTTTAGACTTTGTGAGATAAGTGATTTGTGGATATCTTCTCCCCATTTGCACCTCTCTATCTTCTAAATAGAACTTTTCACAGAAGAAGAGTTTGTAATTTTTGTGATGTTGAATTTATATATTTTCTTATTTTATGGATAGCAGTTTTGGTATCATTTCTAAGAACTCTTCACCAAACACTAGATCCTAAAGATATTATTCTATGTTTCCTGATTAATTTTTGTAGTTTTACATTTAAACCTATGATCTATTTTTATTTTATTTATTGTTTTACCAAACTAATATAAAGTCATTATTCATAAGTAATTAATTTTTTAAATTCTTTTTTATTTATATATGACAGTGGAATGCATTACAATTCTTATTACACATACAGAGCACAATTTTTCATATCTCTGGTTGTATACACAGTATATTCACACCAATTCGTGTCTTCATACCTGTACTTTGGATAATAATGA